GGGAAGGAAACTTTGTGCAAGCTCTCCAGTAGACACACTACACTGAGGACCACACACAGCACTGGGGTGAGTCAAGATGAGTTTCACAGGAATCTGAGGTGTTGGACACTCATGCTGAGGCATCTGAAGTTTGGCTTGGCCAGACCAGCCTAAGGACTCCATACATTTGTATCCCAGCACACTCCTAAACCTTGGCTTGCTTTGGAATGGTTCCCAATTCCCTGCAATTACTTCTGATTGCTTTACTGTCCCTAAAGGGGTAAGGACCTCCTCAGGAGCCAAGCTCTGTCTGGGTTATTCCCTGTTAGGGCCATGCAGGTAAAAGGAGGTGCTCTAACCCCAAGGCCAAGCCCCAGGGGAGCAGCATGACTACCAGAAATAAGCTGTGCCTGTGTTTGTGTTTCCAGAGTGCTCCAGAGAACCTGGATAATGGCAGCCTTTATTAAGTGCCTTGTAAAGCTCTGACAATCCCTGCTAGTCCTCACCATAAAATACCCTGTACAATGCAGTAAGTGTAAAATACAATATGCCAAGGGAGAGGTTTAGATAAAAACATCCTACCACATGCCTCTTCCATGCTCTGCATTAGCTGTCTGGTGCTGGTTGAATTTAAGGGGTGCAAACTCAGCTAAGAAGAAGCCAGTAATATTTTTGGCATTGACATCAAGGGGAAAAACAGGAGGTAGAAATAATTGCAGCTTTGTTTTTAAGTTAAAAATAACCCATGTGGTTTGGAATCTACCTATCTGAAGGAACTATTTTTGACAGCAGCTATGCTTTTTCTGATTTGGGGCATGGAAAAATGGAGTGATCAAGAGTTGTACTCTCAGCACGCCTGTCTTTGCCACTTTGCTGAAAACTGGGCTGGCACCATTTTCTGGGCCCAAATCAGTCTGTGGAGTAAGGACTGAGCACGGAGGAAAAGACACTGAAAAAAAAATACCCTAAAGCTGTAATTCTGGGAATTTCAAATGAAGCAACACCATATCCTTTGTCAAATCTAATGCCAAAACTTTTAAGGGATTTCTGTAACCTCACTGACTGGTCAGCTAAGGAAGTATCCATCTGTACTGAAGCACAGAGCCCGGATCACTGAACAGGGAGTTCCCGAACAGATTAACAGCAAACCTTGGAATAGCTTTTAAGTTTATGGATCTTGAAGAGGAATGACCTGGCATGCCAATAGTTACCTGATGTGGAGTTTCCTCTCTGTAACAGTTAAACAAGGGAAACAGTCTTTGATTTTCTGCCATTGAAAGATGACTTGGATATATTTCTCTGTCATGTACAGCTCCAAGCTGTTTTGTTTCTTAGTGTCTTGTTTCTGGCCACAGTTCTACCAGAAAAACTCAGCCAAAGAGGTACACCAGACAGAAATAGCAGAGGCCATATGTGATCCCTGTTAAGAGACTTTTAGTGGCTTCACTGTGATGTTCACCTGCACAGTCACACACAGCTTTTGCCTGGGTAGAAAAAAGTAAGAAGCCCACACACTAAAAGCAGTGTAATATTAAAGGCTAAAAAAAGAGTTTGCATCTGTGATACACAGAGAAGAGACATTTTCTCTGTGCTGTTTGTTTGGTGTTTTCCATCCCTGAAATCTAAATTCTGAGTAACATCCTGAGCATCTGCTGCAGTAATATGTTCAGTATTTCTAGTCACAGATGCTGTGAACTGATCAACTTCAAGGAACCTTGAGCTAAGATAATTACACAACAGTTATTCCAGAGGCAGCTGGAGACAGATCCATTTGCACATGCAGCAAACTGAAGGAAAAGATGACAGAAAACCCCCAAAATCTTACTTTAAGTGTTGCCAATTCCATTGGTCCATTGTTTTGGCCAACCAGGAAGAATTCCACTGTGACAGTTTTCTTCTCTGTGCGTCTGGAGGCGCTGGACCGATGTGTGAACAGGGGGAAGGCCCTGGCCAGGGCACAGGCGGAGGCGAAGACTTCAGAGCGCTCACACACCATCTGGAACAGCAGCCAGCAGCAAAATATGTCACACACCAGGTGGGGAAGGATGAACTTAAAAGGATCTGTTACTTGGGGTACTACTGGGGAAGAGGAGGAAAAAATGAGGTGGGTGGGAAATAACTGAACCCTGAGTCAAGACAAGCTCATTCATCATGTTTTGCATGGACAGGGAGGCAGCGTGAAAATATTCCAGTGAACTGGTCCAGTTCATTTCCCATATGGAAATGAATTACACTGCTGGAATTAGTTCATCCTTATAAGGGAGCTGGACTGCTGTAATTACACCAGTGCAATTAACACAGATCAGGACTAAAAAAAGTCACAGGAATCACCAATATCTGCTCAAAACAAATATAACAAAGAAATTATATGAGAATGTGACAGCAGAAATTGTATGACAATGTGGCTAATGTTAACCCAAAAGTTTGTTAACAGGTCGTTTATTTTTCTTAAGTTCATTATAGAAATTACCAGTGGAAAGCAGTTTTAGTTGAACATTTTGAAAGAGTAAAAATTAGGTAGAGTTACTATTCTTACAAGTAAGTTGTCCAAGTGAAGAGTACTATTAAATTTATTCACTGACACTGACTGTATGAGTCTTCTCCAACAACCCACAAATCTGACTGGAGAACCCACAGAAACAAATAAATTCATCAGGCTCATAGAGAAGATGACCAAAGAAGTCCAAGAGCTAGTGCTGCAAAGGACTCACATTGGAGCATTATTTGCATCAAGACTTTTAAAACTCACTGAACAACACAAGCAAGGCACCTCTCATGGGTTCTGTGATACAGACATAACACTCTCCACTTAGGCTACATCAGTCTCCTGAAGCATGTGCTGACATCCCAAATCCTAGCTCAGAAAAAGCCACTAATGGTTCACTTTGCATGGGCATTCCGCGTTGAAGATGTTCCATAGGAATCCAGATTTAATTTCTTCCTCCTAATGTGCTTGAGCATGCACAAGCCATTACAGTCAGGTCTTGCCTACATGTCAGTGCAAAACCACTCATGTCAGTGTAATTATATCAGTCAAACTTGTCCACCTCCAGTCTCCTTGGAGACAGCTACAACCCGGAAAAGTCGAGAAAACACTCCCTAGACATTTCACCAGAAGCATTTCAAGAGCCACTTACAACAATGCATCTGTTGACCCCTCCTGGCAGGCAGTTCCTGACCAGGCGGGTGATGAACTGCGCTGCGGACGGGCTGTTGTGCCGGCTGACCCTGGACGGCAGCGCGGCCACCGTGGCATAGTTCAGGTACAGGGGACAGCTGTCCGTGGGGTTGGGATTCAGAGTGCTCAGAGCAGACTGCCAGATCTGGGGAGAAACGAAGGATTTAAAGACAAAGAACTGTGCCAGACTTTCTTTCCCACCTCACTCCTGCTGTATATAGGCAATTTTTAATGACAGGGGTTTAGGTGTTGGAAACAAATTGTGCACAAGAACCTCTGGAGTGAAAAGAAACAGGAAATTTGACAAACCTGTTCATTAACCAGAAAATAGAAATGTACTTTCCATTACAAGCATCTCCTTTAAGCCATATGAATTACAATCTAAAACCACACTGTTTAGTGCACAGGCTGGTTCAGAGCTTTCTTAACTTGAAACAGTTTTTCTAGTGATAAATAGAAGGACTGATTTACTAGCTCCGAATTATTATTTCACGTAGCAATTTAATTAAAAACAAATAAAACCAAGAAGGGTAAATATTGTCTTAAGAGACTGGGGAGCCCCGTATAACAACCCCTGCCAAATATCTAGCGACCTAAAAAGCCGCAATGCAAAACGTTTATCATTCTACCACAAGCCATCACCACCACTAAACAAACAGGTCCGCAGCTCCCACCGCAGTGGCTGCGGGCGGGGAGGGGGCTCTCAGCGCTCACTGCAGCCGCCCCCCGTCCCCTCAGCGAGGGCAAAGCGCCTTTCCCCCGCCGGGGTGGGCACAGGGGCTGCGGGAGCGGCTGCCCGGGCGGCCCCGCCGCAGCAACAGGCTCGGCCCGGCCCGGCGCGGGGGTCCCCGGGGCACAGCGGCGCTCAGGGCCGGGCCCAGGGCCGGGGCAGCGCAGCCCCCGCGGGCCGGGGCGGCCGCCGCACCACGAGGCCGCCGGGCCGGGCGGGCAGGCGGCGCGGGGGCCCCGCGGGCGCTGCCGGGCTCTGAGGGGGCGCGGACCCGCGGCGCGGCCTCACCTCCTCGGTGACCCGCGGCTGCAGCTTCCCCCGCAGCTGCGCCCAGGGCAGGCGGTGCAGGTTGTGCAGCTGCCCCAGCACGAGCAGCGGGCGGCTCTGCGGGTCCGCCTCGCCCGCGCTGGCCTGGAACTCCAGCTGCACGTTCGCCATCTTCCTGCCCGGCCCGGCCGCGCCGCCCCGCCCCGGGCCCGGCCCCGGCTCCGCGGGGCGGGGACGCGCCGGTGCCGCGGGAGCGCCGGGCACGGCCAGGGCAGAGCCGGGCACGGCCGGGGCAGAGCCGGGCACGGCCGGGGCAGAGCCGGGCACAGCGCTGAGCCAACAGGGCTTTCCCAGTGCTGCTTTCATAGTGCACTTGCATGGTGGGCTGGAATAGAATAAGCTGTTTATTCTGATCTTTTTTTGTAGTTGCCAAGCGCCTCCTGTTAATGTTTGGTCAGCGGACAATTATCAGTATATGGTGATTTGGAAGGACCCCACAGATATGATCGAGTCCAACTCCTGCCCTGCACAGACACCCCGACAATGCCAGCCCGTCCCTGGGAGCGCTGTCCGAACTCTCCTGGAGCTCAGACAGGTTTGGTGCTGTGGTCACTCCATGGAGAAGCTGATGCTCATTGAGCTGCAGCCAGGAAAGCCGGGAAGGTCTGTGCAATCTTCCACCTACGCGGGAAGAGTGAATTCTCATGCATATAATGGAAATACACCTAAAAAGAAAAACAAAAAAAACCCCAAAACCCAGGCTGAATTCCAGAAAAAAACACTTCCTTAGAGTAAGGTCTTTGAAGGGACATCACAGAAACTTTATTGAAAGTAAAAGTTGTAGGAACATCTGTTGCAGAGGTCAGTCGTGCATCCTCGCAGATGGGACAGTAACTCAATATACAGGCTCCAACTTTAACGAGTCTCTTTACTGAGCCACAGAAAATACTGCTCAGGGGTCCACTGTTATCCCAATACATAAGAGCAGCGTGGGAGTGAGAGGACACACAGCAATTACTTCAGGATTGAGACATTCCAAAGATTCCTCCAGGCAGTAAGCTCCCAATCATTGAGTTCAAAATCTGCTGTTCCTGCTGCTCGAAGCATCCAAAACCAGCACATTCCCTGAATCCACGGCATCTGAAAAGCAAATAAAACAGCAGGAAACACCTAACCCACAATCCTTTTGTTGCAGTTAAGGGCAGCAGAGGACGGTCTGTGTGAAGGGAATGGACTGAGAAAATAAATTTTATCTACAGAAACTCCCTGTGAACGTCCCACCACCAGCAGCTGCAAACATTTCTATTTGTCTGAGCTCCACCAGAAGCTGCAGCAAGGACCCATCTTCCAGTTATTGATCCTCTACAAGTATTCACGGAATTAAGCCAGTAGAATATGATCTTACACAATCCACCATAATTAATATGCAAAATTATAATGAATTCACTGTTTTAATGAGTTTTGTTTAAGGCGGTTGTTTGGTTTGGGTTTTTTTTAAATAGTAGCATATTTTTTTCCAACAAAATCAATTTCACTGTCACCTATTCAAGAATTTAAAGTTTGCAGGTTTCCAAACACTTAAACAAGAGTTAAGACTCTTTTGTGCTGTGGTTCATGAAAGCAAACCTTAAATCAATGCAATCTAGGCAGTGAACACAGCATTAAGTATAGATATTCCAATTTTTAGCACATTCCAAAAACCAGCAAGCGAAAAACCAATTCTTCCACATTACTTTTCAGTTTCTAGAGAAAACTTTCAGTAAAAATAATTTATTACAGTGCTTTTAATACTGTCCTTTCGGCATATAATTAATTTCTGTTAACAAGTTGCAGCTCATTTTTTGTGCGCTCCCATGCATTTTAGTGGAGAAATTGTGTACAAGCCAACAGCTTTACAGGCCACTCCCACCAGGTGAGGAGACACAAACCCTTGGGAGATGCTTCAGCAATGCAATTCTGAGCAACGTTCTGCTCTTTAGCAAGGAATTTGAGCTTCCATACAGGCTGAGAAGAATGCAGCACCCACAAAGAAGCCCCAGGATGAGAAGGTCCCAGCTTTGCCTGCAGCAGCACACAGAGATTCCCAGGGCTGGGCAGAAGCGAAGGCGGGAGGCTCTGGCAGCTCCTGGAATACCTGAGGAGGCAGCAGCTGCTGTGGCTTTTCTGGGCTTTCATTGCCCAAAGGCACAGACAGATCCCCTTTTGTGGGGATACTCCCACAAAGCACAGCATCAGGTTTGATTGAACTGCTGACATTATTCAGACTGACTCAAAATAAGCCACACACCAGCAATGATTTAGAATCCAGCGTGTCCTGAGCTTTCTTCATCAACAGAGTCAAGCTTCAATAAATTCCAGCTCAAGTCACATATGACACTTGACATCTGAGTTTAACCTTATTAAAAATGCATTCCCTTGTACAGAATTTGGGTAGAAAAAAGGTAGACAGTGGGCAGTCATGGGAAATATCTCTCAACAATGCAAAATACATTGTGCTACAGAAAGTTAAAAAAAAGGTATTTCATGCCACTGCCACTTTCATTTATTACGAAGAACAGAAACGTGTTAACATCACAGAAGTATGTTTCAGTTTATAATTTCAGTAAGAAAAAAGAGTAATTGTCCAATTAGGTTGGATGTGTTTTATTACTTCTTTGAAACCATCTGCCATGATAAAATGTCAAAAGCACCTGTCAAGACAGAAATAAATAACACAATCTCATGTTAAAGAGAAAGTTGCAAGTACAGTATATTAAATTATAGCAATTTTCTGCTTCACACCCAGTGATGCAGACAGCACGAGGGAGACAGTAGTTTTACTCACAATCATTGAAAGATCTATCACCAGAACAGGGGAGCTGCACACACAACACAAGCCTCATTCTTCCTTTCACCAATTTACTTCATGAATTCAATGAAGAGCTTGAACTGGCAGTTTTGGTGGTTCAACATCCCCTTTCTCTAGAGGTAACAAGAGTGGTACAAAGCTTTTCATAAGCCACACAAAAAGCCAAGGCTTTCATGTTTTTGCAGTCTTTGCTTTCAGGTCCATCCCTGAAAATGGTCAGTTTGAAGCCACATCTCAAGTCCTCTTTAGCACAGAGTCAAGAAATTCGGGGCAGGTGACAGATGCAACTTCAATATCATAGTGTTTTGAAACTGCACTTCTGGAGCTTGGAGCAGAACATCTCTGCAGGTCTATGGGGACCACTTGTATCAGTCAAAAAATGAAGGAAGTTACAGTCCCTTTGGGAAAAAAAACCCCAAACATATAAAAAAATCAGTATTAAAAACATTAAGACAAGGCCTCTACAATTGCACACCACTTCAGGCCTGAATTAAATTAAAAGTATTCTATTACTTTTAAGTTGCCTTAATTTCTGTCGTACGGCCTGCAGCAAAGTTTTCCACTGAAAAGAGCAGTGAAAACCCCAAATTCTCCACTGAAGGCCTTGTCAAATGTCATTTGCATGACATCTCTCATGGTCAGTGAAAAACCACGAACACGTCCTCTCCCAGGCTGACATTTGAAAGAGAATTTTCTGTCAGGGAAAATGGATATAATATTTACTGTAGTGAAGCCACTTCTTATACAAAAAACATAACCCATATGGACAAATGCATTGTAAAATAAACAACTTTTACAGCAGCTACAGTTTGAAACATCTAAGACCCACTGCAGCAGGCCAGAGAGATTCTCCTTTTGAGTTTCTATTCCATTTTTTTCAGGTTAACTTCACTGCTTTAATGTAATGTCTGTACTCTAAACTAAAAAAATAATGCCTGAGAAAAATATATGATCATCCCAATGAAGGAAAATTATTCCCATGATTACTCAAGCTCAGAATTTTTTTTTAATTAACTAAATGTGTTAAATTATGCCAGTGATTACATCTTGTTATTTACAAGATCAAGTACCTCTGATTCTTAGTAATGGTGCAGTATCTAAATTAAGATCACAGGGGTTGGATTACGTTCTGGTTGCTAAAAGCTTTCCTTTTTAGCTGTCTATCCAGTTCTTTGGAGTTTTTGAGTCTGGAAGAAAGGGCATTCAATCAAACAATTTTGCATCTCAACAAATTTTACATCAAGATCAATTTTTGATATCCAGTCACGTTGACTCAGTAACATGGTTTAAATTTGAAGCCTATAACAATTATGACATAAGAATATAGAAGACAACACATTTTGTTAACAGTAACACACTAATTACTGTAGTCACTGGTAAACTTCAATTTTTAATTATTCTTAAACACTGTGTTTCAAAATAACTCTGCATAGAACGCCAAAATTTTTTTGTGTGGGAGCATCAAATTTCCTGACATTTTCCATATAATCCTTACAAACACCTCACAGATCACCAAACTTGTACTTTGAAGAATTCTACGGAAACATTGCACAGACGTTGCACCACAAGGGCTCGTACATTCAAAGGCAGCTTTCTGGAGTGCAGGTCCATCCATTCACATTGGGAAAAAAGTTCACAGAAACTCCAAAAATGAGAAAATGAAGCGAAACCTAGTGTAACTTTACACCAATAAGAACAACAATAAGGACAATTACTATAACAAACAAAATTAAAATAACGAGCATCTTCCGATTCTTCTTTTGATATTGCTCTGCCTATAAAAAGAGAGAGCAAAGAGTTAATAATCAGATTTCTGCAAGGCTGAAGTACAGACTCTTCTTTAGTGTAAGTGAAGTCCACGTATTTCAAACTGCTCTTTGGTAACCCGACATCTCATACAATGTATATTGCAGGCAATTCCCACACAGTTTCCACACAATTCCCAACTCTGATCTACACCAGAAGCTCCAGGGTCAGTAAATGTGCACTGAAGTCACATCCACCTGTGCTAAAGACTCAGTTTGCTGAGATAAGACTCCTGTATCATATTTGAAGGACATTAAAATTCAAAACAAACTTCCTTTCTTGATAGGTACATTTGCTGTACCTGGTCAGCTGTGCATTTTCATTTAATTTCAATTAGAACTGAAAGCTTTATTTTTGAGTTGGTTCTCAAGTTTTCTGCTTCATTCCTTCTTTCTTCTAACCATATTTTCTCATTCCTCTCCTCCTTTTCCCAGGGGAATTAATAGCACACAACATAGAGAAAACTCTCCAAAAGCCAAATGAAAGTCTACTAATAGAAGCTAAACAAAACAAAGCTTGCATTTTGTTTTTAATTAATAAGCCTTCAAAATAAAACCAAAACAAAATGACCACAAAACTCTGACCTGCTGAGATCATTGTTTTTACAACTTTTCAGGTGTTCACAGCGAAAGCATTAAAGCAAGAGGTTGGACCTGACATCTAACAAATGTCAGATAGTAAGGGAAAACATTAATAATTATTCTTTCTGCTCACATAATTGAGATAATGTTTTCAAACTAAAATCTGCAGTGAGGTACCCAATAACCAGCCCTATTCCCAGGTGCCTGGCTTTTCAAACAGAGAAGGAATTGCAGACAGGTCCCACCAGGTCAGCAGTATAAATATCAAAGCATATTGGTTGGATGCCCAGAAAGTCATTTAAGAAATTAACTTGAGGCATCAAGCATGACATTAACAGAAGTTATATGAAGAGCTCCTCCTACAGTACAGCTGGACATTTCATACTGTACAGAAGGAATTTCTAAAAGGTGTAATGTCCAATTGAAAACAGACTGAATAACTTAATAGCTATTTAATTATAAAAGCTTATTAGATATGCAAAATGGATTAAGTATTCCATCAGCTTACCTTATGCAGTTGTTTTAGGCCCTCTTCAGTTTTCATACATGACTGTTCAATATTATAGTCAATTCTATCTAGAACTGTTCCCTAAATAAAATGGAGAAAACAAGCACCAAATTGAACCTAAATGAACCTCATAAAGAAAATGTTATCATAAGCAGCAGAGTAATTAACTGCACTCAGCAAACAGCTCATGAACTATGTAAACAATGAACTCTTACAGAACTAGTTGGGACTTATTAAACAACTCCCTTGCTCAGCTCCTAACAGCAGCTCTGTCACTATCTCACATCACATCCCTAAAAATCATCTTGATTCCAGATCAGGTGCTTTTGGCTGACACATTTACCATATACTGAATCTCTGGGAGAATTAACCAAGAGAACTTTGGCTTTCTACAGTATTTTTTTTTTAAAGTCTAACACACATTACCAGTTGAATTATTATTCACTTATTTTCATTAACTCAACTGTGGCATATTTCAAGCAGAGGAAACCTGAGCATGAAGAAGTAAATTAGGAAAAGCAAGTCTGGAAGCCTTCACACTACATGGAATGTCCCATTTCTTACTAACTCTGCACTGTCACTGTACCTGTTCTACTATCATTGCTCCCAGGTCCCTAAATATTTCATTGAGATCGGAGATTGACTGCACAATCTGACGGATTTCTCGTTCCCTCTCTTCCACCATCAGTGTGTTTTGCTCCACCAATGCCAGCTGGTCATCTGTAAAACCCTGTTGAAATACCAGATTTACACATTAAACTTAATATTAACAGTATGAAAATATTAGAAATAATTACAAGGATAACAAGATTTCATGACTCAGATATTTATTATCTGAGAAGAGAAAATGCAATTCATATTGAATTTGTGCAATATTGTTTTAACTTACTCTATCATAAAGGGTATCATCCTCTCCATCATCCATCAGTGGGACTGAGGTGTCAAAGAAGTGTTTGGACCTTTCTTCTCTATTCTTCATACCTGTAAAAGACAAACTATGTTTGAGCATGATATTTAAGCCCACTGTAATCAGGGTAAGGTCTGAAGCACCAGACAGAAAAGAAATTTAGGGAAGTTAAGAGCCTTGAAGTGTGGACACTCCAGGCTATTTTGTAACAAATTTTCTTAGGAACACTCCATGTCTGAATGGTGATCTTCAGTTCCTCCTGTGCTATTTATACCACAGGAGGAAGAAATATCAAGTTTAAATTTGAAAATAAAGTTTTTGTGCATTTCTTTCAAGATTAAAATAATCTGACTCAGCTTAGAACAGAACCAAACAAAATCTTACTTTTAAAAAGAAATGGTTCCACTTCCAATCTGTTTATGGATGCAGAATTTTAGTTTATCACAGACTAGCTCTTAAGCTTTATCTATCCCAGCCTGCCATCTGCAGCAGGTATCATGGCTGAAGACCAGTGGCTGCTTCACCAGAGTAACAGATGCAACTTTGCAAACCACAATTTGAGAAGCAATATGCATAAAAACATGTGGATGGGTGAAATACTGTTTCGTTGATACACTCAACTATGATACTTCTTTATCAACAAGAAAAACAAATAGAACAAAGCAGTTTGAACATGGGCTGTGAACCAGGAACTAAATCCAGTTCTAACCTCTAATTAGTCCTGTGTGCATCACTTAACCCTTCTGTGCTTCAGTTTTCCCGACCATGAAAATAAGCACACCTCAGTGAGTGCTTTCCACAGAAGGGAACCATGCATTACTGTTACATCTCTTATGCTTACGTTTGAGATAGTCAGACTGTGCATGCCTAAAGTTGGTGGAGAGGTCCTGAAGGGACTGTGCTAAGGAAGACACTACATTCCTGAGAACACGTGCTTCTTGTTCTGTACAAGTACGTGACCTGCTCTGCAACACCTGGACTGCTCTCTGACATCTGTGGAATAACTGAGAAAACAATTCCATTAGTGGAAAAACGTACAGCACCACACACCTTAAACAGCACATGGCAAAAGTGCCACACTGAAGACTATATTTTGATTTCTACATTTTTTAAAGTAATTTTTAAATTTTCCTCAGAATAGAGATCTGCAGATTCAGATTTCTCTGAGATAACTGTAAATTTGATTTGATTAATCTCGCAATCCTGTTCCAAGCAGAAAATCAAACGGGTAAGGGAAACAACAGGGAAGTTTAAGTGACTCATTGGGAAGTTCAGAGCAGAGCCTAGGACTTCTGGCTCACTCCAGCACTGACCACAAAATAAATCCTTTGCTCAGAGCAAGCCACTGCCTCATCCTAATGCATTAAAGATGTGCCAGACTGGAGTTTTAGGACCCAAAGCACTCTGTACCTGTGTGATCTCCTGGGTTGTTATTTCTATTGCCCGTTCCTCTTCACTGCTGTCATCCAGTGTGGGTCTGTTCAGATGTTTATCATGAAGACTGGCTAATTCTTTCATCTTCTGTTTAACCCTGGCAATATCATACTGAATCTAAAACAGAAAGCCCAACAGGAAGAAAGGGAATTAAATTCATGCTTCAGGGAAAAATGTTCTGACAAATGTTAGACAGAAATCACTGAGAGAAATCTGTAACATAAAAGGCAGACCAAATATTATTAAAAGCCACATAAAAAGCTGACTAAGAAACTGAATACTCTTAATATAAGACTTTGAGTTTGCTACTTTTTTAAACCTGCTTGTTAATCTTAGACAAGACTGCTGCTTTCAAATATGCTTCATAAAATTGGAATAATATTTTTATAATTATACAGCATCACAGCAAGAAGATTTAGCCAACTTCCAATAAAATAAATGAAAATTTGGGTCACACCTTCAGCTTTGTCAGATACGGAATAGCTTCAACTCAGCAGTAGAAGTTAAATGCCGTGCTTTCAACCAAGTAATTAAAAATAAATCTGTAAGGATGAGTATGATAGCAGTAAAAAGGAGAGCATCTTTCTGCACAATGGGCTCTGTCCACACAAACTGATGAGCCAACATGTGTTCTGAGGGTACATTTAAGAAAAAAGGTTTTCTAAAAGTCAAGAATAGCTTCACACTCCAAATACTGGAAAAGGTTTTTAATTGGATGCTTCCAGAATCATTCCCTTGTGTTTGTCCAAATATTTCCATAACTTGCAAGGCATCCAGATGGCAGAGGTAGGAAAGTTCTCCTTCTAGAAGACACTAATGTTTCCTGTTTTCAAACACTGAACTGCTCATCCTCACCATTTTAGGGTCTATTCAACTGCACTCCTCACGAGCTTCAAATAAAATTCTTACTAAAAATTACTTAGAATTCAAACTAGAATTCTTATTGGAATCTTTCTTCCAATACTATTTCTGCTGAGAAACTGAGAGAATGTGAGTAACAACAACAGTAACAGATCCCTCCATGGGAAGTCCAGCTGTGTGCTGGATGTGCCAGAGCAGAGCACTCACTTCGTCTGCCCCATCGACCCATTTGGGAGGCAACCGCTTGGTCACTCCGATGGCTGCCTCGGGATCCAGGCTTATCCCCGACACCAGGGCCATGCGGTCATCAGCCAGCTGCAGAGGGGAAAAAAACCAGCAAATCAGCTTGATTCTAATTAGATCCACATCCCTGAGCATCAGAAAAAGTGCCTGTATGCCTTCCCATAGAAATTAACCTCAGAGAAGTGTTTGCTCGTGATCAAACATCTCGTCTCCTGGTTTGGCCCTCTGGGTTAGGCACCTACACCCTCCCACTTCCTGCAGCATCTGAAAGCTCAGAGTTACTCTTAGAATAAATTCTTAGCAAATTTTCCAGGAGGAAAGATGGTATTGCAGTGAGAATTCAAGTAGCTTTCGTGTTGGTACATTTCTATCAGACAACAATTCACAGCCAATGTTGCAGCACAGTTCATATTGGGCCTGGCAAGTTTGAAAACTGCATTTGGGAAAATCTCAGAAAAAACATTTATTATAACTGCTTGTTCTCAAACAATGTTATTTTGAAGAACAAACATTTTTGCAAAGTGACATGTAAGTCAAGTGGTTAAATTACTTAGTTAGTGATAATTAAATTGTGCTAAACACAAATAGCCAAGGCAGTACTAGAGATGATCATCAATGATACCACTTACAACATTAACTAATTACTTGGGAAAGCTTTCATACAAACACTTCCCTTCCTAGTTTCTTCCAAATTTGTAATTTTTCTTTATCAGGCCTGGAAAGTTTTGTGGTTCCCTACCCCATTCCTTTTTAAAAAACAATTCCCCATCCTTCCTGAGCAACTCTTTCTTGAAAGCAATTTCTGTATCCCTTATTTTATTTCCTGATCAATAAAGTTTGCATAATTTATGCACAGCATGAAGAATAGTTAATGGCTTCACTTTGCAAAGTCACTCTCTCCCACATGTGCACAATGAGTCAGACTGGTTCATACGTTTATCTATTCACAATATAATATCATAAAATGCTTGATTTCTCTATGCAACCTATCCTACTGTGCAAAGACACTTCATCCTATACAATGAAATCTTATAAGCTAGTAGAATAAAGAAAGAATATTTTAGCTCAGTAACATAGACTTGATGCAGCATGGTAGAATAAAATGTGAAAAACAATACCTCATCCAGCTCCTGAAGTGATTTGTGGATCCCATCAGCCCCATCCAGTTAGAGACAGCAAAAGATAAAAGGGAAAAAAGAGACATAGGACAGATATAGGGCATGGTCAGTTGAGAAAATACTGATTTATTTTTAAAGCATGATAGTTTACCAAGAACAAACAAACTGGCTTTTAAGACATGGTTAATCAATAAATACATCATGATATTGCATTTTAAGTCAGCATTTTGCCTAATGCACCAACTTTTAAAAGAAATATTTCAGTTCCTTGGTAAACAGCAAGAACATAAGAGATCAAGTGCAGAGCTTGGTTTGTTTTACAAAGTAATTGCACGGTGAAGTTTCTAAATACTGAAATGTCAGGCAGAAAAGCTGCAGTAGAATACAGTGAAGAATGACAGCAAGGGCAGTTTGACTGCAGCACTCAGCATCCACTGGGGTTGACTATGATTGGAGGGGGTTATAGAGAAGCTTTTGTAGGACAAGCACCCCAGTTCTTACAGCATCCAACAGACAGCAAAAGACAAAATGCAAAAGCAAATGTTCAGTCACTTCTGTACACACTTGAGCTGTGCTCTGCTTCCAGGGAACATTAACCCTGCAGGGATCTAAAAAAATACACAAGGACATGAATCTGTACCTTCCCTGTTCATCAGTCCTTGCACTGGGGAGGGAATGTCTAAGATTAACAAAGTCAGACCTAAAATTGGACAAAATCTTTGTGGTTTAATAAAGCAGCATCAGCTGATGACCTCTTATGAGATTCCCCAAGCTTTTGGAACAGGACTCTACTGTAAAGATGCTGCTTTGATTGTCTGACTTTAGGAAGTCAACTCTTGACAGGGAGTTCTCACAGCAAAGGATTCCTCGAGGAGAAAGCTGGAGATGAACTAAGGGAAGCCGAAGTACTGCAGGCTGGAATTTGCCACCCTGCCCTGCTGGCACACAGCAGCTCTGCCTGGGGGCACCACCCAAGGGAAATCTGCAGCTCTGACAGCAACAGACACCTAAAGCCATGAGAGGCAGACAGCTCACACTGAAACTTCACACTTCTTGCTGAAACAGCTCACTTGTAGAGACTCTGGGACTCTGAGATTCCCACCAGGGCAAAAAATGACTCCTTTCACCCACTGCACAGATGGACAATTTCCAGTCACTGAGAGCCTCCATTGCATCTGAGTGAGCAGCCCAGCAAAACCCTTCAATTAATGTTAACAAACACTGCAAATAAATATTTGATGCAGACACTAAATGTTATTGCACTGGCTGCTGAGTAAAGTGCAGTTTCATTGCTCAGCAGTAGTGAGTTTGAAACGTCACTACCTTTTCTAGCTGATACTTAAAAAAACCCAAGGATCTACAGAAGTGACATAAAAAAAAATGAACAAGTGCATGTATGCCATAAATGCAGAGCCAAAGTACACATGTAAAATACAAATTACTATTGACATTTCCTGTTCTGCAAATACAATTTAATACACAGCTTATTAGGTACAGGTGTAATAAAGTTAGCAATGAACAAAGACCATTGACAGCAACAGGAAGCGCTGCTTTTCCTAACAAAAATGCATTATTATATAGCTATTTAGAGTGATGAGACTGCCAGCAAATATTTACTGGTGGCTATGACAAATAAATTATGAGTTTAAACATAGAGTGTGAAAACCTGAGCAGAGATGAGCTGCCAAGCAGCACATCACAGCCTGACTAGCTCAAAACCTAGAAAAAGTTACAGAAACTGCCTCTGAACCAGTATTTTTTGGTAGTTTCTGTGGAGCTTTGAGTATTATTTGTATTTAGGGATAAATAAAAAGTGCAATGAACATCAGAGCAAGTTATGGAGAAACTGAATCAATGGGAATAAACTATACCAGTGTAATTAACAGTTCCCACAGTGAGGTGAATAGAAGAGTTCTGCTTTATGAATTTATTTCATTTTGGAGGTAAGGAGGCATCAAAAACCTCCTGTCAATGCTAGCACGAAGCTGTTAGAACAGTAACTGATTTATTGTGCCCGAAGCGAACAGTGAGGCGAGCAGCACACACAGATCTCTTCTATTCCTTTAACGTGAAGGAGTGGGAAAAGAGGAATCAACAGGGTGGGGAAGGAGGAGCAGAGGGAGGAAGGTCGGGGGAGGGGGGGTTTGAGGAGAGGGTTCAGAGGAAGGGAGAACAGGGGCGGGTGAGAGGCCGGGGCAGGGCAGGCGCGGCCGCCCGGCAGCCCGGGGCGCGGCGAGTACAGAAGGATGAAGGGAGGAGACTCACCGCAGCAGCCATGCTACGTGAATTCAGAGGGCTGGAGGAGCCGAAACTACTCACTTGCTCGGCCAGCAGCTGCCGGCTCTGCACCGCGTTGTTCCGCAACAACAAGAACGCGTCCGTGAGACGCCGGGTGGCCATGGCCCCCCCGCCCCGCCGGGCCCGAGCCCAGCCCGGGGCCCGCGGCAGACGCGGCGGCCGCCCCTCAGAGGGTCGGGGCGGAGACCCGTGCGAGGGCCGTGAGCGGGACCCCTCAGAGGGCCGGGGCCGGGACGCCCCTGGGCGGGACCGGGACCCCCCAGCCCGGGCCCCCGCGGCCGCCGGGCGCCGCCATCGCCCCGGCCCGACCGGCACTTCCGCGTTGTGCAGCGCTCGTCGCCTTCCGGCCGCCCGCCCGCGCCGCTCCGCCCGGGACCGCCGCCGCGACAACGGAGTTCCGGTCCTCCGGCGGCCGGAGCAGGAGCGCACACGGCCATGGCCATGGCCATGGCCATCCCCACGGCCATCCCCATGTCTATGGCCATCCACACGGCCATCCCCTTGTCCATGGCCATTCTTAGTCCATTCACATGTCCATGTCCATCACCAGTCCATCCTCACGTCCATCTTCATGTTCTTCAGTCTGTCCCCACATCTATTCCTTGACCATCCCCACATCCATCCCCACATCTATCCCCATGTCCATCCCCACGTCTATCCCCAGTCCAATCCTTCTTCCATCCCCACATCCATGCTCACATCCCATTTGGTTTTTTCCTCTGAGTCCCTCCCACGCCTTCCTTGCCATTTCCTTTGCTTCCAGTCAATTTTCTCTTTTCCAAACAACGACACTTGGCTTTTTTTAAAATTTTTTTCTGATCCCAACCATTCAAATCCCAGGATGTTCCCTGAAAGTGAACAAGCCATTTAAAATGACAATATGGGGTTTGGCTTTTCAGAAAAGACTTTTCAACATGGTGACTAAAAAGACTTTTCCCAGCTGCTCTGTGTGGGGTAGATGTCACCTGAGGCTTGGGCTCCCTCCGGTGCATCCCATGCCTTTATTCCAAGGGACATCTGACAAATCCCCCATGGAAACAGCAGTGGCTGCCCAGGGGAGCTGCTGCCCATGGATCATCAGGAGACTCCCTCCTTAAACCCTCAAAACACCCTCCCAAACCAAGCAATGTTTACACATGTGGTAGGAACAGGGACTATAATCACAACCATGTTTTCTGGAAATGTTATCTCATTTTATTTAACCGCCTGGGAAAACCTGTACCGTGAAAAATAGGGGGAAAAAATTCCCTCTGCTATTATAAGATATTCGGGGAGTTTTCTTGAGCAGCCCTTCTGCCTCAGTGGGAGAGACCTGAAACTTGGAATTTAGCAAGGAAATAAGCTTGAGCCATACAAGGCCTAATACACTCATTTCATTCTTCGTGGTCTGGTGAAATCTGCTTTCACTTTGGCTGCCTGACAAAGGCTTTAAAAATATATGCGTGTGCTTCATTTCTTCATGCTAATTTTTAATCTACTGTAACAATTCTTATACTATGAGAACAGCTAATGACCTTTCTGCCTTCTCTTGGCACTGCTGCTGTGGCTGGAGGTCAAGAGAAATTTCTCCTGCCATCGGTGGTCTTGCCATGATCTTTTAGAAAAAACTTTTTGGAATGTCTCATTTGGATGGAGAACATGAACCCAGTAGGAAGCCCAGTGCTCTGGAAGTTGGTACACAGCAGCAATTAACGTATTTTGCTTTCTGATTTTTGCCAGCTTATAAAGTTTTGGATGTTGGGCAGGCTTGGAATTTACGCAGGGGCTATAAAAAGTATTTGGGACTTGAACACAGAGGGATAAAACTCTGCAAGGAATAGGTCCAGACTTGGTGAATAACCACTTCAAAGTGGGTATTAGGAATAAGCAGAGGGAGTGGAAGGAATGGAAAAAAGGATTAATCAAAGAAAACTACATCTTAGAAGTTAGGAAGTGTAGGCATAAAAGGAAATGTGCCAGAAGTAAAGCTAAGGTAGATCTTACAAAGGAAATTAAAACAAATAGCAAAATGTTCTTCAGGCATACATAGCAGGAGAGGAAGGAGAGGAGGGGGAGAGGTGATGAAAGGGGGAGAGGCAGGACACAAATGAATGTATAGTATGTAGTGGAAATGTACACAGAGGAAATGAATGCATGGAGACAGAAATTACCTCATCCAAGTGGAACAAATCATCAAGGTCATAATGCAACAATGATTTGGGCTAAATGATCGTTATAGACACCTTTCAGCTGGAATATTCCAATTTCTGACTCAGACATCCAAGAGCACTTTATATCTGTCTGTGTAACAGCATCCCTGCATGAGCAACACAACACAATTTGAGAATAGGAAAAATTCTTCAGCTTTTAAAAAGAGGAAAAATTATCGAAGTCTAATCCAAGTAAAATACAGGACTTTGAGGTAAATTTAGAAAGAAAGAATAATAGCAGATATGATGGCAAAGAGAAATGGGCAAGGCAACATAGATTTATTTACTGAAGGTGGACAGTGGTGGACTAACGTGATGACTTTGTAAGGTTGTTGGTTTTCATAACAGATAAGAGCTGGTAGTCCTGTGCTGCCTGGTAATGAATAAATGTAGGCTGGAAATGAGAAGAATATGTTCAATCATCAGAGGAATTGGGTCCTGGTATGTCCTCCCTACAGTCATGGCAAGGGCAAACAACCACATTGGAATGTTGCACTTGATCTGATCATAAAAAACCCAGGTCATATTTTCCCCTCCTAAGACAGCATACATCCCTAAATACATCTTCCTAAGTTTGTACTGCTATTATTCAGGGCTGTTGGGTGTCTGTGGCTAAGCCCACTGCCGTAGGTTTGGAGCCTATGTCTTTCTTTGCCCTTTTATCTGCTTTTTTTTAATGCCTGTTCTCTCCTGCTACTCCCAGTGAGCCATGAGATAGCAATGCTGCCTGCACTGTCACATTCCTGCACCCACCTCCTCCCACAGCCAGGGCCTGGTGGGGAACTTTCCGTTACTACTGTGGCATTTGGATCTGGCTTCTGGTGGAAAAAAACACTCCATATTCAGAAGAACATTCTATTTTGAGGTGAATAGATAAGCACACTTTTTTCCCCTTTCTTTCTTTTTTTTTTTTTATGGCAAGTTAATCAGAAACATATTTCAAACTCCAGCTTTTAAACTGCAAAATCCTCTCTTGTGCTTAAAACACCTTCATTGTGGTCCCACTCTTGTATGACTGTTTGGGTACCCAGGCCATGTGAAGGGCAAGCAGACCTTATGCTCCAGTGATCAGATGAAGGTCAATCCTCACAATGTTTTATCTTGTGTAATTGAGTAGATACATGGAGGAGGTGAAATATTGCACTCTTCTGAAGCCTGAGCAATCAGCTTGTGCCAAATTCAGGATTAATGGACCATGAAGTGCATTTTGCCCTGAAAAATCCCACCATCCTTTTGCAGATGGAACACTTCTCTGCCAGAGAAGTTCTTCTGCAGGAAAGTTTCTGGAAAAAAAAATGACAAAGTGTCTGGGTTACCTCTGCCATTGCTAGAGGTGCATTCTCTGCTCGGGAATTGAGGGGCTCCTGGGAAGATTGATCATGTTCTTGCCTTTATCTTGGTGCAGAAAGATTTCAGGTTTTAGGGCTGTTAGACTCACAGTTTCCTGAGCGGGTTAATCACTGAGCCGGGGTTTGTTTGTCCAGGGAGCTGGAGCTTCCTGAGGTTTACAGTGTGATTCTGACAGCATCTCTGTAGATGGTGCTGCAAGGCAGGGAGATGGGAACAAGAACTGCCTGTGCTGCTTTTAAAATTCAGTCCCTTGGTTTCTCAACCAGCTCTTGGTATTCCAGCTTCTTTACGAGAAAATGAGAGGTAGTTGCCCATAATGTCTTCATCTTGATGAGCTATAATCTGAATGCACCCATTGGAAACATAAACAGAGGAGAATTATTTTCTCTGGGTTCAAACAGCTGACATTCTGTAACTCTGCCTGGAAAACTGCTGTTGAACAAACTGGCTTTTCATATTGATCTAACTGTACCAGCATTTTAACAGCAGATTGTGGAATCTAGTGAATTCCAGAAAAACATCTGAAAGAGAATAATAATTTGGTCATGCAAAGACATTAAATAATGGTTGTTTAAAAAATAAAGAGAAAGAAATTCACATCTCTAAAGGGGCTCTGTCCTTTTTTGCTCAACATCAAGTGTTGCCTTGAGTTCAGCTGCTCTTCTGCACACTGAAAAATGGTAGAATGGATCCTGCAAATGTGTCTGTACTCCTCCTCTGCTACAGAAATGCAATCAATCTGGGTGGAATCAGGTCTTACTTTAAGCTAGGAAGGCAGTGAAGACTGATGTGTCTGCTTGGAGGGCTGGGAGGAATTTTTTAATCAAAATTCAGCTGCATGAATTTGATGTTTACAGGCAGACATACTCCACATACATAATTACACAGGCAACCTTGTTCAAAGGCAGATGTGAGAGGCACAGGCTATGAGTTTGTACCCAGTCTCGTGACAGACGAATAATGCCTGTGGTACTTAAACAATGGAACAACTCTGTCATCTAATATTGTGCAAAATTCCTTCCCTCAGCTGGGCACTATATTAAATCTCCTGTGTCACCACGGTGTAGGTCACCTCTGCAGCAAAGATAAAAGGTTGCTCATTGTAGACATTTATATCTCTGCTTATCCTAATTCTCTCTCCAGTAGTCACATGAGGATATTCTGGTTTTAAATTGAGCTATCAAATATAAAAATGTGTTAGTGATCTCCTCCTTATAAGGTATATATAATTTTAGATCCAGGTGGGACTCCTAGCATCATGGATGTGGTTCTTAGCTGAGCAAAAGTTGTGGGGCTGGAGGTATGGCAGTAATTTGATATTGATGTGCAGAGATAGTGTGAATTTGAGATGTTCTGTCCCCTAAATGTTTGCTACTGACCATAGTGATGATTTTACCCCGCAATTTATCTACCACAGTGCACTCTGTGAGTGCTTCAGTGCTTCAGTGCAAGTCAGTCAGTTCAGTCACTGACAGAGCAGCTTTCCCTGAGAGGTCAAACCAGCACAGACAGCACAGCATACATTCACGGGTCGAACAGCACCGTGCCTGCAGTAAGAGAGAAGAGAAATGTGTTGTTTGCATCCTGGGGCAGACTCCCACAGTGCTTCAAGTACATCCAAACATGAACAAAATGTAGTCAAAATAAGTAGACAAGAGAAGTATTATTATTCTCCTTTTAGAGATGAGGCGCCAAGGCATGAGGAGATTCAGTGAGAAGTTCTCCTGCAGATATGTGTAATGT